AATTGGCTTGCACTCACTCAATAGGTTCTCTTTTTTCAAATGGCAAGCAGTGAAAGACCTATAGCACCACTATCGCTCGAGAGGAAATTATATTATACTCAACGTTTTTTTTTACTGAGAGCTACTTCTTGGGTACTGATGGATATGATGGGCTACTAGTTTGATATGCACTTCTGAAGCTTAACTACGTCAATTACAGGTTATTCATACTATGACTGCTGCAAACAATGAATAATAATAATAATAGACAAAACTGACAAAAATGACTTCGAGGGATGGGCCCAATGCATCGGGTACTTACGTTGGCGGCCAATACCAGTCACCGATACCAAGGTGCCTTCTTGTGGCCATTTTATTATCAGGAACATAAAGGGCATGCATGATTGACAGAATGTTTTTCCAAGTGAACTGTATCCATGTCATTTCTCTCATATGCCCATCAAGATGCATTTTCTTTTAACTGTCTTGTCTTTTAATAAGGACGATATAAATGCATTATTAATGTGTGGTACCAAAATGTTTATTTGCTCACTAAATTTCTTCAGGGCTGACAAGGGCGTTTTTCTCTTTTGAATTCCATCCGTGTCAATCCAGTCATATGACCATTAAGATGCAATTTCTCAGTGTATCGATGTTTCTAAGGTTTTTAGAGTGCATTTTTAGCTACTAATGTTACAGGTTTATTTGCTCAATTTGGGTGCTATGATGACTTTCTACATTACGGTTTTTCATGCATAAACGTATTTTACGCATTTACCTGCTTTCATCCCTTGAGGAAAAATAGAATTCTGTTATTATCCAGTGCATTCATAAGGTCTAGTTTTCCTGCTGAATGAAGCGAAGGCAACATGGTGCCCTTAGTTGCTTATAGTATTATCCAGAGTGCTATTACTCACCTCTTGTCTACTTTTACGTACTCATATGTACTTTATATTTATTTTCATATTTTGTATTATCGAATGGTTATTATATTTTATCCTTAATCCATCCCGCTTTATTATTTTTAAATCATTTTAAAAGTTATTAAATTTAAAAAAACTAATGACGTTATCAATTAATTATTGACAAATCATTAACTTTTTACTAGTGCAAATGGTGTACATATAATGTATTCCTTTAATAGACGAGGACTGTAGCAAAAACGTGAGAACAAAGTACCTATTAACATAACAAGGAAGGGCAAGGAAAACACTCAATTAAGTACAGGTCACAGATGAAACCAAGAGTCGATAGTGCTTGCACAGTGTGAAAGATTTCGAAGCCAACTCAGCAGGTTGCTTGGCCTATGACCTGAAAATGAAAGCCTTACTCTGTAGTTTATTAGAGCTTTATTTTAACGATTATACTGGTCCCTGGGAGCAGTATTAGGAACAGTACTTTGCAAACTCTGTCACTTTGTAAATATACAAGTCTCAAGATATCCATAATTCTACTTGTATCTGACTCGCTGCCTTGGATATTCTGTCCTCTCTTTGCCCCTTGCTGACTCCGGACGCCTCAATATAGGAAGTGCTTACATTGGTTCTTTATTTGTGCAGCAGTCAGCTTTAAGACAGAAACACAAAAAGCCAGATATAATATCTAGCAAAGTTGAGGTGATGAACGAGCATGTGTTGAAGGGCTGTAAATATTCTTCACCCTCCATGACTATATCCTCCATTTCCTGAGGGGTATACGACAGGATTTAGAGAGGCAAGGGTGTAGCTCTACTGCCCTAAGTTCCTTTTCAAAAATTTGTTTCATTTCTTTTCTGCTGTCTGTTAGAATCTCAATGCCGAACTCTCACCTTTTCCCTTTGGACTCAATTTTATCTTAAGCTATTACCCATACCTACATAAATCTTGGATGACTCCTTGCAAAGGATCTCCTGTCAGTAGACATCAAACTTCCAAAATCAAAAACATTAGTGGCCATTTTCAGCACACTCGGCCTGTCCGCCATGACCATCTTCCTTCGGTACACTTTTGTCAAGAGCAATTCTCCTCTCATACGTTATTACTAGGGATCTAACGACACCCAAACGTCACGCCCGATATCACAATATGAACCTCACGATACATGTGTGTCATGCATTCAAATTGGCACAGCGGCGTATATAACCATGGTATATGTATTTCACAATGCTGTATTCGGATGAAGCGGGTGAAAAGTAATGTTTTTTGTTTTTTTGACAAAGATGGGCTGGGTTTAATACCATAACATGACAAAGACAATATTGCAGCAATTTTAATATCGCCATATCGTCATTATCATTGCATCCCTCGTTGTTACTGCGCCCTAAAGTCAGACCAGAGCTCAAGAAATAGAAATAAACCTGTATTAATCGATGTACATTATTCTGCTTCTATTTTGAAAGCGGCATTTTTATTTATGAACATATGCTTGCTGGTGCAATATTCTATGACTGATATATTATTCAGATTAGTGGACTTGCTAAAGAATAATTTGCAGCAGGCCAGAAGGTAAATTCGCCTGCATCCACCCTCTTAATAAAACACCATCAACTTTATTACTGTGTAGGTACTGTTACGCATCAAAGCTCGTGAAATTGCTCAATGTGACTGTTCATTGTCACTGCTCACTGGCCACTTTTTTGTCATCGTCCTGGCCCGCTACATTCGCAGGATGCGGGATTGAAATGTTTTCTCTTTTAAACTACAACATCTTGAGTTGCCACATTAAGTCTTTTACTGTTCACAGAAAGTCGACTGACACAACCAATTGCGCTGTCTGGAATTGTAATTTCGCTCAAAAAACATAAATAAATCGTTTAGCCCTAGTGAAGCAGCATTTAGGGATTGTGCTGCACGCAAATGGAAAAAGCTGTCAACAGAAGTGATGTTTTTTGTAAATGCCTTTTTTTGGGGGGAAATTCTTTTGAATGTACTTTTCATTATTTGAAGCACATTGAGTTACCTTGTGTATGAAATGTGCTATATAAATAAAGCTGCCTTGCCTTGTCTCTATCATCAACTACTCAGTTTCTAAATGCTTTTCTAACAGCGAGTAGTCACTGCGTGGATTTATAAGTTCATTGTTTTTCTTTCAACTTTCAACTCGCTCTTAACCTATTCACTTTGTTAACTTGTTCATTCAATTATGTATGTACACATGAAGTGTTTTGTCAATACCTTCCTGATGCACCCCATTCTATTTGAACACTTAATCAGTGTTCTATTTATATGCAAAGTTAATTCAGAAGAACAGTGCTGATGAGGCAATGCAGCAGGGAAGTTTAATGCGATGGTTTTTGATTGACGATGGTTTGATGAATAGAAAATTGTAACAATGCCCGCGGTGGAGCTACCTTTTCGAACATATTTAAAATATCATGACAATGGAACAGTTTACTCGATCATTAGATGGAAACGTTGGAACAATCGATTATAAAATCATGATATTGCTTTGTTTTAAGACACCACGTATGCTTAAGTCAACGTAAAATCACACCGACATGCAAATAACCAATATTCACTAACAAACGCTGTAGGAACACATACATACAGGCAGCAAAACAATACTTCAAGGCACAAATTCTTCGCAATCTCTAAAAAATATATATATTAATAGCGTTCAATCGCAATGTTCTTATGTCATTATAAGTCTGTATCCATTGTACAGCACCACACTGCCCCTAACAGGCCAATGCGTGCAAACAACAAGCACGATGTTATTATTTATTGTTCTTTAATTGCTGTAGTATATTCTTATTTTACTTTGTTAATTATGTAGTTTCTCATTGTCCTTTCAAGTTATATTTAAAGTTGAGTTGAGTGTTCAAGGATTCAAGAAAGTTTACTCTCCTCAAAATTCATGGATACAAAAATCCTGAGACTTTTTTGTTTTAACAACACAAATGTCAACATGATATCGAACAAAATACGATATCCAAGCTACCAGGTTAACCCAGTAACCCCCAAGACATGTAAAAATAGAACAATACAATAAGATAAAAATAAATATGGTAATGACATAAATCAGATTATCATCAAATTAGACATGGTGCTTTGATCGCTTTGCTGACACATGGATAACTGGAGCACTTAGAAAGGCAATATGGTAAATTGACGTCATCCCAGCACACTGAGAGAACATTTTCAAGAGTTTGATGCAGTCAATGATAAGGCTATGAATTCGACTAGTGACCAGAAGTTAGCACGTCCCTGTGACCCAAATGCGGATATGTTGCGTACATACAGTGCATTGGTATGCAACCAATCAAATGGATACCCAAGGCAGAAAAAAAAAAACTCTCAGGCATTTTGTGTGTGTGTGTGTGTGTGTGGGGGGGGGGGGTTGAAATCAAGGTAACCGGATTGCTCAATAACTTCCCTACAACATCCCTACAACACTAAGCAAATGTAAATTGTAAATAGCGGACAGTTTAATAATTGTGTGGAGAAAGAATAATACTGTATGCTACACCACGCACCTAAACGGGGCCGAAACCGGAAATGAATTGTATTTTGTTAGCCGGGAGGAGTGGCCTATGAGATTAAAAGCAAGCGTCCCCAAAGTAGATCAATTAATCTTTGAAATGTTGCGGAACACTAGCAATCCAACGCCACATGACAGCACAACCAAGCCAGTGCATACACATTTTCTCTTTCACTTTTCATCCGTTTCAGAGTTAACGTTTGATTCACTCTTCTCAATAAACTGATTTACTGTGACAGTGGTAATATCCTGTAGTGCTTTTCCGTAAAATGAATAATATGTCCATCAAACCATCTTGCTGGCAATGGCCTATAAAATTCTATGAAAATCATGAAGACAGCAATACAGACAGCTTAATATACAACACACCGTAACCCATACAGTTCAGCTAAAATTCTGATATTATTTAAATAAGAAGCACCACATGAATGGTTTCTCGTCTCATTCAATTGTCATACAGTGTCATTGCTACTTCCGGTTAAACCTCGCTTGACGCACCACCGCGTATTCAACCTTCATCATCTATCGAAACAATAAATACATCCTGGGGGCGAAAACGTTACCTCTTTTTTCTTTTGCCCTCCTCCAGACGGCAGACACAGCATCAAAAGGAAGAAAACACACAGAACAGGGAGGTTAGCAAAGAATTTCATACATAGAGTCGCCATGACGGAAGGATGCTCTGGCAGCGAGACACGTCTGTGACAAGCAATTGGACGCTGCTTTGACCAATCGGCGTAAGGATTTTGACTCGCAAACGCTTCTGGGTATTGAAGTTTTTTATAATTATTCTTCCATCCATCCATCCAGCTCATTCAGTTTGGTTTGACTTTTAATTTTTTTTAGCCCAAAATAGGTTTTATATTTTAGACCACTGTATTAGAGTTATGTGATGTGATGCAAACACATATATAACCTTGCCCAATACATTCATAATATGAGCAGGAAAAAAATGTCAGAATTAGAATTGAGAGATTTTTGTGTCATTGTGATTTTTAGATCTGATTTGAATGAATGGGCCATCAATCACGGTGTGCAAAATGGTGTCTGCCGTCTGTGACAATTGAACACTCAGAGTGGCTGTTACCTGGGTATCATCGCATGACATAAAAGTAGACTATGAGATTGTACACAAAAGCAAACCAATGGATAATAAAATAACATTATCTCGTAAATTAAGATCAGTAACACACTTTTTAATTAGACTTGATCCTGCTTCTATTATCAGAGTGTGTTGAGCACGTTTCTGAATGTGCATTTTATTTAATGAAACCCCAACCGGTGATGGTATGATAAAAAATGGATTCTCAGGCCGTGTCCAAATTCACAGTCTGGGTCCTCTGAAGAACAACTTGTCAGCTGGGCACTTCAGAGGCTTCTCCTCATGTCGACTACATAAACCGTGGCAAATTTGGACAGGCTTAATATCTGTGTAAATCTTTATAGGCAGAGTCTTCCAAGCGCTGAAAAGGCAGCAACGTGAAGTCACGGTGCGACTCCACCGCACACGAGTGTCCAAATTCATACGGCCTTTGAGAATCAGCCTTCAAATCTGGCCTTGTTTCCATGGAGTCTCTAAAGGCTACAATGGAGCAGCTTTTGTAGCCTTCTTTGCTTCGCTCTTTTTCTCCGCCTTCCAACACAATCGTCAACGCTTAAAACATGGAGGACGCAAAGACAACCCTGTCTGCCTGGGGCTTAGAAGATGATTACGCTCCCAGAAACGCTTCTTCTTCTTCTTCTTCTTCTTCTTCTTCTCTCACATTTCCGGCAGTGTAGACGTTTCTTTGCTTCTTTTGGTATTACTGTGGTATTACGTATGAAAGAAGAGCGGTGCAACGTGGCCATGTATGAGCCCCAGTTACAGATGGGGTTACGCAAATGCAAATTTACACGTGGCCACCCCTCAGTAAAATATTTTGTCACCCTGGACACCCTAATGAAAAAAATTCTGTCTCCGCCCATGGGAAATTCCACAGAGGAAGACCTGAGCGTGGATTTTAACCCCAAGCCTCTTAACTTTGAGGGATAATATGTGCACTAACCACTCATCAAAGGTGCATTAAACAGCGTACTTCAACATAAATTATGAAGGCATTACAACTTCTTTGTACAAATCAGTACTGCGTTGATTACTATCACTGAAATAATTCATTGGTTTTATCCTTTGCACCCAAAGCTTTGAAAAGTCTCACTGTGATGACAAATTATGCAGAGAAGCTACCAACACTGTTGCACCACATTATATTTTCGAGATGGAATAAAGAGTATGTTTCTAGGTATCCAAAGGCAGCTTTTGTTTTCACTAACCAGTTTACAACATGCTGTATACCCGTGTCTCATTGTTCCTTTCATTTATAATTTTCCACATTTCCATAAGAGAAGTAAGTAAATTGCTTAGAAGTCTTTGTTTCTGATGAAGAGTTTTGGCACTGAAATGATGATTCTGGAACATTTGCATATGTGAGCAAGCACCTTGGGGGAACATGCCGAGTAAATGACAGACACAATTAAGGGACAGAAATTGTTTATTGTGTTTTAAAATACAAGAAGAAGCCTCGGGACATGGAGGCAAAAGAGAGACGTGGGGTCGGTGATGTCATGGCGCTGGCACAGGACCAGGTGACTGCATTTGAGGTCAGTTGCTCCCTTCTGAAAAATATGACAAAGCCTTTAGAAAAATGTCTCCCGAAAGACAGCATAATGTTTATTGAGAGTGAAAGCGGTTGAGCAAGCACAACATCAAAAAGGTGGGAGTGCAGAGGGGGGGAGATATTGAGAAAGGGTGGGATTGTGGGCGAAGCGTTAAGAGAGGTTGAGGAGGTTGAAGAGGGACAGTGTGAGAGGTGAGTATAAAAAAATAGAGGCAGAAAAACAAGAGAAGGCATATAGGGAAGGAGTGAGGCAGTCATGAATATGATGCTCGTTGTCTCTCACTGATTCCTTCAACAAAATATTCTAGCGTGTACTCTGGCATGTTGCTCAGTCGCCCCTCGTTATGTGCGTGTCTTCGTCAAGAATGTCATTTACATATGAATGTATTATTTTACACATCTGAAACAACATTCAAGCTACGCCACTGGCAAGAGAGGTAACAGCAAAAAGAGAATTCAGAATTAATGGTGATGTGTGCCCTCTTCCAAGCACAAAAATACAAGCTGTATAAAGGAAGAAGTGCTCTGATTAGTTTTTGTTGTTGTTGTTTATAGTTTCTAGGAATATACTACGAGGAGACCAGTGTTCCCCAGTTAGTTCTCAGTTTGGGCCAAAATATGTCAAGGTTGCCAAGTCCTGTGACTTGGAAACCTGTTGCATTCTTTTCTCAGATTTTTTTTTTTTTTAGATTTGTTCTCAGGACAAGTTTAATATTGTGTATGTGGATTTTATCAAATTTGATGGGTGGGATGTAAAATGCCCATCAATTCTGGAATGACCCATATGATCAAATCTGAGACAAACTGTGCTGGCTGTTTTTATTTCTTCAAACAGTGCATCTGAAAGCTAGGCCTAAACTACCACGCCAAGAAGTGCAAGCAAAGTGCAGGTAAAAGGAGGTGGAAAGGGGAACTTTTGCACTCGTGTAAACTTTTTTGAAATAACACAAATTATTGTGACATATCGTTGTCATGATTCGGTTTGGGACCAACAGTTGGCACTGTAGGGCTCTCCCTGCAGCTGCACACCTGTTGGTCATTATGTAATTAGTGTTTTAAAAAGACTCCCAGCCCGAACACTCGGTGTCGGGTCATTGTTGCTTTTTGCCGCTGTCATGTTTGTTTGTCAGTCATGTTTCGGTCATGTTTTTGGTCATGTTTTTGTTATTGATAGTTTTGAGCTTCAGTCATGGTTTTTGGTTGATACTTTGGACTTTGTTTGTTTAGGATTTAGTTTTCTGTGTTTTATCAATACACTTCTTCAAATACACCCTGCTCCTCCCTCTTGCCTGCTTTTTGGGTCCATCACCACCCCTCATCGTGACAATCGTCTTTTCAGCAATACAATTGTGGATCTTAGTTGAATCAAACAAAGCACATTTGTGTGTGTGTTATTCTTCAGAAATTTTGTAACTTCTGTAGTTATCACAGGACAAAGGTTTTTGATTTTGTGTTTTGATGTGGCTTCATTCGAAAGGCTCTCTCTCTCTCTCTCTCTCTCTCTCTCTCTCTCTCTCTCTCTCTCTCTCTCTCTCTCCAGCTCTTTTCTTCTCCAGTGTGACAAATGATAACATAAATACTCTGGTGGTCGGCAGGCGGCGACATTCTTACAAAGGTAAAAATAAGGTATACAGTACAATAAGGAACCACTCTAATTGTGTTACATGACATATTCAATCCTACGCACTCAGCTCAGCACATCCTACTCATGAGAAAGGTATTTATTTGTAAGTTTATGGAAATTTTATTCAATTATTTTCATCAAGCACTCTATTGCTTCTCGTGTTCGTTATCAAAACAAAACCCAAAGCTATAATAAAACTTGTAGGACTGTGTTTTAACACTTGATCGGAAACAACTCAGTGACATGCATTCAACCATTGGCAATTCTTTTTGAAGATTTTAGTTCGTAAAAAGATGATTCTGGCATTTGCTTTTATGTCACAGTAAGACTGAGTACAACAGTTATATAGATACATTTTTCCTTCATGCAAAATTTAATTCATCATGTTGTAAATTATCTTCTAAATATTAAGCATCTTTTCAATGTTTCAGTGAGTTGCCCATTGATTTATGTCGGCATTTTATTGTATTTCTAAATGTTGTTTTTCTTGCATCCAAAATATTCCCTTGGGAACGAAAGACATCCTGTCATCAACAGTTCTACACAATGAGAGTAGAGTGCAAATGTAGACCTTGACATTTATCAGTTCTTTAAATAATGTCGCTAGTCTGTTACATATGAACTGCTTGCAGTTCCTGAATTTCATATGGGTCATGAGACAGCAACCTTTGCAGAGCAGAAATTATTTACCGCAGTACACCATTGTAAAAGTTGAACTTGAATTATCATTTATAGACATGTATCAACTCTGAACATTTTCTATCACCTTATCCTGTTGAGACTTGCAGGAGCTGGAGTCTATCCCATTTGATTGACAACCTGGACTGGTTGTCAGTCAATCAAAGAACACAGACAACTAGCCACATTAACACTGTTACAGAGTGAAAACTGAACAGCACGAATGACAGACAAATGAATGAATCATGATAGCAAATGGCCAAATCGGTAGTGACTGATAATTAGATAAATTGCGCCCTATTTTTGTGCCAAACTCAAGTCTTGCGCAAAGCCATCTAAATTTTTTAAGCACTTGACTGTTTAAAGCCAAACTAAAATATTCCCATTGAAATCTAGTTCTTGATTTGAATTTTGCCTTACAGTACTTGTTCAATTGTCTTATAATCATATAAGGTCAAATTAAACATTTAATTATCTTACCTTGGCTGCCATCCTATGACAGCCATGAGGAAGGGGGCCTGCCATAAAGTTGAGGCAAAATACTGTTTGCCTCACCCTACACTTTATCTGTGGTTTTAGGTGTTCAGCAAAACTGGATATGTAACACATAAGTATAGTGTATTGTATAATTATTGAATACATTAGCCTGACTACAGTATATAAAATCAGAGACGTGCACGATGCAGGTCTCTGACAACAGTGTTTTGGAGATGTGAGGATAGACAATATAGTCAGATATAATAATGAACCTTGAGCTTCCCAAGAAAGGCGATGATGATTATGATGTACAGCAACAATATAAAGAGATTAAGAATAAAATGCTGAATCATTGAATAATTTATATTGCATTCACATTATTGCATTTTTAGGTAATTACTGACCAGCACCAACACATGTCTGTTCAGTAAGAAGTAAAACTCCATGTTACTGCCTGACTAATAATAAAGTGTTGTGTCCTCCAAACACATGAACTTATACCTGATGTTCGCTCACTGCTGTCAATCTGTATGTGACACCCAACAAACCTTCTCCGGTGGTTTGTTGTAACACAAGCACAAAGTTTGTTGTGTGTGTTACTCTGCAGCCTCTTTGTTCCCAAAAAGGGAAAGGAGCACACAAACAATCTTTTCAAATTAAGACGCTGGAAAGTGTGTACCTATTATTACAACATTGTCTCCTTGTTTGGGATGCATGTTCAAAACACATCTCAGGTAGCCACAGACTCAATTTGGTCAACGAGTTCCCAAGCTGTGCAAGACATTTTTAAATGCTATGGAGGTTTATGAATGTTTAGCAAAAGTAAGTGTTAACAATATAACAGCTTCTGGGAAACCAAAGCTGCTGTAAGAAATGACTCACATTACTTCCGGTGTCTTACAGGAAGCCACACCTATAATTGTTTCCAAGGAATAAGGTAGATAAAGTTTTGAAGTAAAATGTTTTCAAACCCGACAAAACACCAACCTGACAAATAAAGAGGATTTCAAAAGAAACGCCAAGCTAATTGATTAATTTTCTCATACTGTAACACAAACACACACAAACACACATACAAACTACAGTATATTATAGGTGATAGGAATAAAAATACACCGTACACAGCATTAGCCTGTGTCTGTCTCTCCTCTGTCTACCAACTCTGCCGTTCTTCTCGCATCGTCTCCTCAGCACCACAGCTGAGTGCCCACCCGCTCCCCCTTTCCTTTCCTCACTGACTCCCTCTCTCTGGCTCCCTCACATTCTGTTCTCTTCCTCATTTTTCGGGGAGAGCTGCTATCTCTGGCGGTTTGCCGCATGGTCGCTAAAAACTCATCTGCTTTCCGGACTCTTCAACACTGCTGCACGGACACATGCCACACGGATGTAACGGCATTCACCGGACCGCAAAGCAGCGGGTCACTGGAGATCGAGGCTTCATTCCTGCAGAAAGGGATTTCTCACTCCAATGTAACTGAGACCAAGAGGGGCGATAAGTGCGCATCCTCTGCACGCGAAGATTGAACCACTTGGCTGTATGACGGAGTCCAGATTTTAGCAACACGTCCGCGCAGGAAAACCAACTCCTCTGAGACTCCATTGTTGCGATCTAATCATGGCTATCGGGGAGATGTTGTAGCAGAGTTTGGCACTCCGAAGAGCATCCGAACTTTTCTCAATTTCTATTTATAGGACTATATACTATTTCCTTGTTTGGGTCCTCGCACGGGACTTCTATGCCGCTTCCCGAGTAGGCACAGCCAAATTCACCCCCCTCATGGAACGCTCAGCATCTTTGGATATAGAAGCGCTCAAGGTAAGCTCAGTCGACTAGTATGCGCTCACCCCGGGGACAGAGCGCTTCGACGCTCGGTAAATGGATGTATGGGTGGCCAGTTCGATGACAACAGTTTCTTTTTCCTTTCCTTGTTTTTCTCTTTTGGTTTTTTTTTTTTTTTTTTTTAACTTGACCTGCACCTGCAAGTGGGCACTCAGGTCACTGGGATGATGACATGTTAGATATTCTGACACACACACACACATTTAAAGGTGTGTGCTGGTGTGGTTCTCCAAACACGCTCATCATGCTCTGGTTTGGGCATAAATGGATTGCAGTCGTGGTATGTCAATTCAGTGCGTGGGGCGAATTTCAATAATGCTTGGCTTTCACAGAGCTGCTGTGTGCGTCGGTGGGATGCTTGAAGAACCGTCCGGAAAGGTCGGATGGGGCTGATTCTCAGAGGGTTTGTGTAAGAATTTAAGGGGAGTGAAGGGGGGGGGGGGAAATCCACCCCATTGCTGTTTTTGTCTCTCTTCCCGCACTCATGTGTAGTGATACTTCATACCACCAGTTCCTGATTATTATCAAGTGCAGTGCACAACACCCATTCGAAAGATATCACTTGTTGGTGGAGTAGGTGTGATGCTGTTTGTACTTTTGGCCAGAAAGGCTCTATACAGTATTTTTATATACTCTTTGAACATTATGGGGATAACGTTGGCCACACCTGCACAGTACACAATCTATTAAGATCAAATACAAAAGCTGTATCAAAATGTATCTGTCAGGTTTATCCAATTTGACACTCAGGAATAAAACACAAGGAGGAGACAGGAGACTCAATTCTGGTACCAGGAGGGAACGAGGAGAAGCGTTCGGTTTCAGTTCTCGGCACGTCACCCCTCACGATCTCCCCCTTCACCCCCTTATTTATTGGGAAATCTACTACATAGGTGTGTCCAACCTAAAGGGTGGGGGCTGTTGAAGACACACTGAACTTGTTTGACTATGTGTGTGTATGTGAGTGTAAATTACGTACATGTGTGCAATTGTTACAAAAACATCACGTTGCAGCTGGTGTTGATGGCTCCATTCACTGTCCAACCTTGCTCCTGTTTAGTCTTAACACTTATCTCTTCCCAACCACGTCCTCGGAAAGGTGGTTGCGTCCCTAAACTTCCACACAGTGCACTAAGCATTCTTGATTATAAATGTGAGTATATAAATATAATACAAAGGATTATAAATGTGAGTACATAATGATTAATATATTTTTATTAGAAGCATAAGCGTTCTTCATTGCAGGCATAGTCAATTAATGATTAGAGGCATAAGCGTTCGTCTTTGCAAGCATAATCAATTTATCATTGCGGGCATAAGCTTTCTTCTTTGCGAGCATAATCAATCAATCAATCAATATCAAAATAACAATAATAACATTAATAATAAGCGAATGTATGATAACTAAAAATAATCAATCTATCAGTATCCAAAAATAATAATAGTCAGAGGTAGGGCCCATTAATTTCCATTTATAGTGTTTAATATTGTGATTGCTGTGATGTTGAACTGTGCCATATTATATTGAGAGCTTTTCCCAACATTTTTATTTACCTGTTTAGCTAGGTCGGCAAAACAAAACAATTTCTAAGTATGATCCAGTGGAGTTCCACACTGACATATCTCTCTGAAGTTTGCCTGTTTCCCTAGGTTTGTGTGGGTTTTCTCCGGATACTCGGTCCTCATCCCTCATTCCAACAAAAAAACAACCAAAAATAAAATCCTTGCACTGAAGGTTAATTGAAGACTCTAGATTACTCATGGTGCGAATGGGAGTGAAAATATGGTTGTTATATGTGCCCCTCAATTGGCTCGTGAATGCACCCCAGTCCTCGTTTAAAATCAGCTGGGATCGACTCCAGCTCTGATCACCGGCGACCCTGATGAGGGCATGCGCTATAAAATAACACTGTCAATCCAAACTACCATTGTAAAGGCTTGAATTTAACACACAGCTCTTGTATTGGATGTCATTCGATTTTTGATGTATAGGTAAAGTGACAATACTGTCTTGTTTGTACTGTACAGTATATATTTGTGAGTATGTGTGAGGGGGTAAATATTAATCCATGCTAAAGTCAAAACATTTTCTCACTGAATAAAGCCCAAATTTGCAAAATTGTCTTTATAATATTCTTTGTCACGCATGCATTTACTCAAAGGAGCTATGAAATTTTAGTAACATAATACAATTAATTTCCAGCAGTAACAAGTTTACATTTTCCAGCTATAAGAAATAATGTACAGCATATTAACACATGGGTTTGGGACTTTGGTCTGATTTTACAGTGACACATTTCATGTGGGACTGCAACGCAGATGATAATGGTGGGAGGAAATGTTCCTTTTCTTTATGCCGCTTGCTGTTACTTGTAACTAACGATTGAATAAATCAGCAAATCGAATCGATGCCTTTCGCCTGGGGTTTGACATTTCAAGCAGGTTTTTATTTGATCATGTTTCTGGGAAGAAATTGACTTTTCTTTGGCATGCTGGTTGCACACACATGAGATGAAAATTGACACTCGAATTAAAAAAAAAAAAAAAAAAAGACCTCAATTGTGGGTCAGTCCGCTTGACCCAAGAAACTATTCTCTTCATTCCTGTACTATATTGATTGTCTTTCTTTCTCCTGATGCCACAATTTGCACTTGCGTTTGACATTTTAAATTGACATATTAAGTCGAAAAAATACTTTTTTTCAATATTTATTGCAGCATAGACTATTGTTACTTTTTGATTGCAGTGCAAGAGCTATCAATTGTTGAGTACAGAAACGTGTCAAGGCGAATAGGTAGCATTGCCAATGAATTTTCCTTTAAAACATTTCAACACAGTCATGTCACATACATTGTTTTTTTCTGTGAGTGTGTGTGTGTGTGTGTGTGTGTATGTATGTGTGTGTGTGTGTGTGTGTGTGTGTGTGTGTGTGTGTGTGTGTGTGTGTGTGTGTGTGTGTGTGTGTGTTCCACAAATGCAATCAGAGTATATGAACAAGGACAATTTTGGGGACGTTGGGATAACGCCACTTTAGATCCAATATACAATATTAAGGACTTTTTGTGTGTGCGTGTGATTGTGATTAAAGTGTCTCTGCTGGTAAATCACTTCAGGTTTCAATATCAGTTTGGGAAGTTTAGGTGTTATTGATGGCTAGAAATAGCTGGGCTGTGAATTCCATGTATTATCAAAGGCAGAATACATTTCTGCCAAAATGAAGATTCAGATCAAGTTATATCAGCAAATATAAGTTTAAGTTGGTACTTGAAACCTCAAGTTTAGTCCTTAAAAAGTTCTTAAATAGCTGAAATTTTTCATCTCCTCATTGCTGATTTCACAGAAGGTTGACACATGCAGACTTGATTGCGCAGGCAAACAGATGGAAAAGCGGATCTGTGAAGCGGGCACAACAAGGATTGCATCCTCCAAATGTGCCGAATTTTTCGCACAGTTCATTTCACCCATTGTAGGAGTACTATATGCAAAGATTTAACACGGGCAAGGTGATTTATTAACCCTGAGACAAATTGTGCCGGCTGATTTTGGCTGATCGAGCATCTGAAGGGCAGGCCCAAGTAGGTTTCAGTAATTCCATTTTGCAACTTCTAAATGATAAATGAATAAGGGCCAACATACAGCCAGTCACAAGAAGATGTCATGCCATGTCACGTACGACAAAACTCCTTTCAACTCTGCATTTCCTTGCATATGGGTGACTTTGGTACACTGCGACATGACAATTGATGTTCCCATACTTGCCTTTCCCAGAGCTCTTTTCCAGGTGTTGCATTATCATAATAATATCTGTGTTTGTGAAAACAAAAGCATTTCAAGAAAGGCGTGATTAACAGCCAACTGCTTGCTGTACCTGGAGCGCCAGAAGGAAAAGATCAGCAACAGCAGTGACATGAAAAAAAATCCGCACGCACAGCGGGCCACATTCTCCCGCATACTTTTAAGTATTTATTTATTTTTTTTACATGCCTGGCTTGCGCGCTTTCGATTCGCTCATCCATAATTCTGACACACCCACTGTGCGCAAAAGGCTGATGTGCTTATTAACTCGGCGCGAGTCGTTCCTCGTCTGAGGCTCGCCTTTATTCCCAGATTGTGGAGTTTTCACGAGACATGCGAATTCCATTAATATCTCTTTGCAAAATATGTCACCAACACATCCAATTCCATCACTAAAAATTTAATTTCACCCTCGTGTTACTCCCCCAATGTTCCATGATGGAGACTAAAGTTTAAAACTCTCTTTCCACCAATTTTTACACCATTTGCCAACTTCGTATGCAATTTGTTAGAGTGAGTCACACACAAATTAGTTCCCACTGCAGTGATTGTGATCTTATTAAAAGTTTTTATTTTTAGGAAATTGTATTGAGATATCTACAAATGCCAGGCCTAAACACATTGTTTACAAAAAAGTTCCACTTTGATACCTGTTATCAAATGTTTTAATTTCTAGTGTTAAATAAAAAAGGTCAAACTAAATTAGAGTTAAAAAGGATATATATATATATATATATATATATATATATATATATATATATATATATGTAGTTTTTTTTTGTCTTTTAAATCCATTTTCAGTTTTAGATAGTACCCTCAGTGGGTGTTGGTCAAAATATTCCTAACTTGCCAAGTCAAGTTTCAGAACATCCAAATGATGGTTAGTTACCCATTAAATTGGCTGTAAAAGGATATCGCCTTTTAAATCACAGCCAGTGAGAATCAACATTCGCATGGTGGCTGTTTATCCACCAAGGTTTCTCCCCCCAATATTCAGTAGCCACTCGAGGCTAGTTCAGTCATGCGTTTGTAGGCACTGAGCATCCAAAAACGGAGCAATTAGAGGTTCAGTGATTTTTTTTTTTCCAAGGGCACTTCTGAATGAGTTGCACAACAATGATGGGGAATAAAGCTCTAAAACCAAAACTAGTCTAACCTCAAGTTGAAATGTGTTGTGCAAA